AACCACAGCTCGTCTTGCGGGCAAGTAAGCTTAATAGTAGTCGTACTGAGTATAACATGGCAGCACCAGCATTTTGTAGTTTTACGGCTTTTCGGCCGACCAGGTTTCTTGTGCGTGACGCGTAGGACAGGAGCCATCGTCCTTAAATTGTAAATTAGCAAGTGATTAACGCTACCTAAAAAGGCCTAACAAATGTGCTCGTCTACAGGGCTTTCACGGACCAAGCAATGTTATAGTTTCGTAATGGAGGTAAATATATCAACCTGATACTGATACTGAAGTAATATTTTTCTCAAGCAGGTTCTACTTATCACAATCTATTTTGGGCATCTCAGTGATTTGCACTGAGATATGGAAATTTCTCATATCAGTTAACCCCTTAGTTCCCAGCTTATTTACGAGGGTATATTTTTTTCACTGACCCATAACCACATACTAGCAATTTGTAAAGATTTGATATTTTGCACGACTTTGTCGTGAGGATAGTACAGGAATAAAAACGGGACAGGTCCAACCTAACGGCGTTAATGTTGTCTGTAAATGCTGATCAAGCACGATGTTATGCTGGAAAGTCAACATAATTGCTGTACGTTTTATTAGGAGAGCCCTATTTCTAAGCATTGCACACATACAACAGCAATGCATCCCGCACAAAAAATACGCACAACTCACGTTTCCATTGATTGCACTGCTAAAACATCAACGTTTCAAGTGATTGCATTATAAAAGCCGCGTGACCTTAGCTACGACCGAACTAAAGAGAAATTGTGCGACCATTACCTCCCGCTTCATCGTCCACCACGTCCTCAGCTAAATCCTCTCGCTTCTCTTCGTGGTCTGATTCCGTGCGATGACGACGTTTCTTGCCAGGGTGCGACGCAGGTGGACGGTCGCGCATCTTGTGGTCCTTCAGCAGCAAGCTCGGAATATCATTGCCATTATTCCAATCCTCATGCCAGATTGCAAAGCAGGTCTTCGCCCTGCTGCGGGCGACATTGCAAAAGTACTTCCTGGGGAATCGGCATTAGTAAAGGGATAATGCTTCACAATAATATAACGTACCGTCGATTCCCGATGGAACACTTTGGACAGAAGTACTTGGAAAACTTTCTTGGCTTGGACTTGTAAATTGCGCAAACCTTGCGCGAACGCTGTCGATGCTTGAGGCCCTGATACGTTAGCTAGTGGTTATACCGGTTGGACTGAAATAAAGTAGGCGGTACTGTCAGCTGGACAGACCCCGGTGGGGTACAGGGTGTTCCTGTATTGTCGACCCGACGGAGCTTGGACTGAATTGGCACTGGCGACCAAAACCCGAGCGTGAAGGGTACAAACCCCGTTACATGGTGGTCATACAGGATCTGCTGCAACAGAATGAAGACGAGAATTTGCAAGACGTTCAAGTGCGCAGAAGCCACAGACTGACGCAAAGCGCCACAAACGCTCCAAGGAGAGAACAAGGGTGATTTCGAAGAAGGTAGCTGCGCCCAGCACTGCGGCGAAGATACCAACGCGTTGCCGATCACCGGCGACAGGAAAATTGCAGGGTGATCAGCACATGAATGTTCAAGCTGGAGCGGGCGACACCGGCACGAGTCGTGTTGGCTCGGCACAGCAAAATGTGGAGAATGAAGAAACGAAGAGTGGACAGTCGGGTGACGATGATTCTGGCCACCGCGCAGGCGAGAATAGCTCTGATAGCGAAGTTGAAGAACGGAGGACGAACCTGTGCAGCAAGTGCCGAACGTGAACACCAGCACCAACAGCGGCGCTACGGACCTCAACATGGCACAGATGGCGGCATTCGCTGCCGTAATGCAGCAAGTCCTGACCACGGTGTTGACCCAGGTGAATGATCAACCAGCGCCGTTAGCGCCAGAAATCACTGCTGTGACAGTGACGACTGCAGGTAGGGTGGCGAAGGCTCCTGTTGCTCAAAGAACACTACCAGCACGGACGACGACAGTCGACAGGTGTACCACCGGGAATGGACCCGTCAGTACCTGAACGAGTGGTTTGATACCAGCCTCCAGTGCATCGTGTCGGTGAAGGTGACGGCGGTGATGGCCAGGGTGACGATGACAGCGGCGCTGATGGTCACGACGACGGTGATCGCGACGACGGTGTTCACTACAGCAATGGAAATGACGGCGGTGGTCCCGGTGACGGCAATGACACCGACGGCGATGGAAACGACGATGACGTGAGTGACGGTGGACACTCCGATGACTCTGTGAGCGCAGTGATGGGGGGGGGGGGGGGGGGGGAGCTTAACCCACCCGCACCTCATGGGGATCGTGCAACACAACGGCACAGAATACGCTGATTCGGGACTTGGAACTTCCTGTCTCCTTGACCGCATCGACGTCGGTGTCAACGTGGATCGCTCGTAATGATTTGGCGTTAGAGGGAGCGCGTTTGGCTAGACGTGGTGATTGGACAGACCAGGGACTCTACTACATACTTGGAAACAAACCTCAGGACAGTGCCGCGCGCTGATGGGTCCGGCTCGACCAACACCTGCGCAGTCGTGACCAAAACTAGATTTGATTGAAGGTTTCTTTGCTGCGTCGATATGGAGAACGGCCTGATAAGTCGATGGCCGAATGACGTGTGAGCCAGAGACCGGTGTTGCCGGGAGAGACGTACGCAGATTATGCGGCCAGCCTTCGAGATTTGTGCGGCACAAATAGAGTCAGTGAACGGGTTCTACTCGCCCAGTTCTACCACAGTATTGATAAGACGACACGACAACCGGTGCGGCAAGAACCACGACCGATCACGCTAGAGGAGGCTGTGGATAAAGCAACAGAAATCGATGATCCCGACAATGTCGCTCAGGGAATGGAAAATATAGGACAGGTATTTATCACGTCGCCCGGTTCTTACCTGGTCCAGCTGAAGGCACCACGGGGAAAGGGATGATGATACCAGGTGCCGGAAGTGTGGAAGTGACGGATGGCAAACCAGCAAAATTTCCGCATCCACGAGGTGCTTATGATAAGTTTATGGGGCTATGAAAGACTCCTAAGGGCATGCAGTGGTGTGGAAACTAGTGGGTACGTGCGAACCGAAAGCGTGCAGCACCGGCAACAACGACGGCAGTCAGCAAGAAACCAGCAATTCACAAGACTGGGGGCGAGAATTGTGCGGGCAGCCAGCGAGGACGACAGTAATGACGACACAGCAGCTGGCGTTGCGATGCCACCACCCGTCAAGAAGCGGAAGACAGCTGTCAGACAGTCGAATGCAGTGAAACAGCGACGAGGAGCATGAATTCGTAAGTGTTTTGCCTGTGGTAATCTTGGCCATTTCGCGAGAGAGTGCCCAAATGAGGCGCACGTGCACGCAACGTTGAATACGTGGCCAAGTGTGGTCTCGATCAGAAATCTTTGGAAAACGTTGAGCGGGCACCGTAGGGGGATCACGGTGCTCGACGACGCATTGGACTCCCCAGCGGCGATTTGAAGTGATGGTAGCTGGTGTATCTCGGCGTGTGAAATGAACGAATCGACTGCATCGGCGACGGTGCATGGCGACAATGGTAGTGATGTGAACGGTACTGCAGTGTTGTCGAACAACGAGAGTATGGCGGCTGTACGATTGACTGTCATCGACCAACAGAATGATGAACTGGAGCCTCGCGACGAGGAACGGGCAGGACGGTACGTGACGACGGTGCGGCCGGCCATGACAGCTCTACGTTAGAAGTACGCAGTAGATGGACATTATAACAGCGACGGTAGTTGGTGTGGCAGCGGTACGGCGAGTTTCCCAGCTAGGCGATCTACGGAGCTCACGACAAGTACGACATCAGCAGCTGAAGCTAGTGAGGCATCATCAGCGAGGGTGCCACAAACTGAGTAAGGCGGCGTTGCGACGGAATACGTGGCTGTGTCTGAGGAAGGTGCCACAGTGACGAAGGATATGGTGTCAACATGCACTGCGGTGACTACGGACGGTGATATGATGGAGATGGGCATGGAGCTCACTGAAGATGTCATTATGGAACTAGGTAGTGTGACGAAAGTGTATATGGCCGTGAGGGGTCGAGACGTGAAGCGAAGTGTCGACGTTCACAACGAGCGCGTGTGAAAGCAGTCTAACGACGATGAAGTCTCGCGCGTGGTTGCTGAGCTCGACGAAAAGCAGCAAGTGCGACAACAGCGCCAAGTTGATGAAGTACATGGTGCGTTGGAGTTACGGCGTCAGCGGCGTGTTGATGATGACGAAGAGCGCGCGAAGGAATGCCCTCAATATACTGCGCAGGAGCAACACATTTCTTGCGCTCGCCACGCAACATCCAATCTGTGCCAGCCACAGAATACCTCGGGCCACTGTCGATCTTCACCTGCTGCTGCTTACCATCGACAAGCACCATCAAAGTTGGCACACCATCGCTGGTCTCCACATGCGCGTCTTCGTCCGTTGCAACAGTGGTGCTGCCACGTTGCACCAGATCCACACGTGCACAGTGGCGGTTCCCTGTTGGTTGTTCTAGGAGTGTGGACGTTCCGCATGATTAACGTGTACGGGCAGACCGTGGTGGCCGACGCATGCATCATTGATGGATGCACCGGTTAATTTCTCGTTGGCGTTGATTTCCTGCAAAATCATCGAGCTACGCTGTGGACTTTGACTGTAGTGAGTTGCGGTATACAGAGCGGGACCACGAAGTGATCATTCCGTTCAGGACCACTGATGTCTAGGACAAGGTCGGCTCGACGGTGGCAACTGTGAGACTGGTGAGTGCGGCTATTTTGCGAGGGCGAGCTGTCCGACCCGTAAGTGTTGCGGTGGCTGCTCCAGATGGCGAGGAAGGCATCTTCGTACCGACCGTGAATCATGGTGCAGTCTTGTTTGCGACTGCCGAGACCAAGGTGAACAATGGAAGAGTGTTAGTTCCAGCGATAAATGCAAGTGGTAGACGAATGAAGTTGCCTGGAAGAAAAGAATTAGGTATTTGAATACCTATCAATAAAGACATTGAGCTATTAAAGATGAACGATGAGTTGAAACTTGGGCGTACGTACCTGGTTGGACGAATTGGGTGAAGCAGAGAAACTTATGAAGAATGAGGACCAAGTGAACATTGGTACGGATGAACCAGATTCACGTACGTTGATTATTCGCTTATTGATACCGGTGACGCGGCATCGATATTGCTGAAGAGGCGTCGGCACGCCCAAACAGAGGACGAGGTGGTGGATAGTAACGTTGACTCAATGTTGAACGCTGGAGTGATTGAGCATGGCGAGGGCACCTGGGGTTTCCCTGCCGTCCTGGTCAGAAAGAAAAACGGCACAGTAAGATTTTGTGTTGACTATAAAGCGTCCAATCGAGTAACTCGTAAGGACGTATATCCCTTACCACGTGTTGACGAGACTTTGAAAGCTCTCGGTGGACCACGTTTGTTTAGTGCACTGGATTTGCGATCTGGATACTGGCAAATACCAGTTTCCAAGACTGACCGTGACAAAACTGCATTCACAACTAAGAGAGGGTTAAATCGTTTTAAGAGGATGCTGTTTGGTTTAACAAATGCTCCTGCAACCTTTCAGTGACTAATGAACAGTGTTCTGCGTGGATTAACCTGGATGACCTGTCTGGTCTACTTAGATGACATCATCATCTTTAGTAAGGGCGGAATTGAACGGCATGTGGTTGAACTGGCCGGAGTTTTGTAGAGGCTACGGCAGCTGGTCTGAGCTTTAAGCTCAAGAAGTGCGTTTTTTGCCACTACTTCGATGGAATACTTGGGTCATCCACTTAGTGATGAGGGCGTTCGACCCGTGGAGCGACTCGTCACAGCGGTACGAGAATTTCCCCGAACTGTGGATATGACAGAAGTGAAACGATTTGTCCATCTTGCAGGTTACTATCGGAAATTCATTGCAAGTTTCGGTTCGGTCGTGGATCCGCTAACTCGACTACTGTAAAAGGATCTACTGTGGGAATGGAGTGAAGCGCAAGAATTTGCATTTACGTGGATTAGAAATTGTTAACTACGCAACCATTGCTACTCTATCCAAATTGCGATTTGCCTTTTTGCCTGGTGACAGATGCAAGTAAAGTTGGATAGGGTGCGTGCTTACAACAGGATCACGGGTGCGGTTGGAAACCGATTGCTTTTGCAAGCAATGTGAATAGTAGTGGGGAATCGAATTGTTCGATTACTGAATTAGAATGTGCAGCTGTAGTATGGTCAGTGAAGCTCTCTTTCGTCCTTACCTCTATGGACGAACCTTTATTATCATTACGGATCATTCCGCATTGTGCTACGGCCAAATTTGGCTGGAAGATTGCATCGCTGGAGTTTGACATTGCAATAATATGAATTTGATATTTTTTATCGTCTAGGTGCGACAAATGTAGTTTCTGACGCATTGTCTCGGGCGCCTGCAGCAGTTCGGATGGCAGTTGGACGACGAGGACGACCTCCATGTGACGCGGTAGTGACGGTGATAACACACACGGCATTGACGGGCGAGACGGCACCAGGTGACTGTGCAACACCTGACGCAGTATCTCCTGATGGAATGGCACCGACCGGTGGGATATACGTGAAAGACCAAGTGTCAGAACGAAAGAAGTCCCTGTGTCCATACGGGATACATAGGATCTTGCAGTGGTGGAAACGGAATTCCACGACGGCTCGGCATTGCAGGATTTGGCGGTAGGCTTCAGCACGTTGGTCGACAAGACGACTGATGGAGGTACGACGGGCGAGCTAGAAGTTGGTGACGGTGTTGTAATCGACGATGCAGTGAACGACGGTGTTGTGAATGGTAGCGTGGCTGGAGACACGGCCCCAAATGCACTGGGCACGGACACAACAGAAAATGTAGTGACCGACATGAAGGCCAGCACTGACAATTGTGGTTCCCAGCACGGCAAGTCCTGTGGACGGCTCAATGGGTGGTACGGCGGACGACGAGTTGATGACAGACCTTGTGACGGCAAGTACGGTGGGTGCGAGCACGACAATGGCGGCAATGACTGGCAAGAAGCGAGCACAGAAGATGAGTGCACCAGTGACAAGACGAAGCGCACGGATCCGAGAACGTGCTCAACAGCATGAACCGCAGGTGACGGTGGGTGGTCACAGAACCTGAAGTGACACCAAGTACGAGATATCCAACATCTACGGAGATGAAGACGCGAGCGCCAGTGGAAACGAGTCCCCAAGTTGGAGTACGTGATGCGGTTACGACGGTGTCTGGACCAGCACCGACAGGGACAATGGCAACCGAGAGTACGAAGACACGAGCGGTGCCAGTGGTGAAAGTTCCAGCACCACGAGGCAAGACCGAGAGAAGTGATCAGCGGCGTGTGTTGACCACGGTGGGCACGACGAGTACGAAGCGTACGAAGGCAACGACACCAGCGATGGTGCCGAAGTCGACAGCAACACGAAGACGAACGATGGATGGCGAGAAACGACCGAAAACTGAGCCGCTTCAGCTAGTACAATGGCGACAACCAACAGTGGCAAGAAGGACGGCATGGACGATGAGGAGACAGCGCCAGTGGAGGTTTACACGCTACAACTCAGCGACGACGAAATAGTGGCTGCACAGAAGCGCAGTAAGTTTGTGCAACGGGTGGCGGTATCAAGCAAGTACGGCAACCTGAATATTGATACCCGATATGAACTGGTCACGGTGGAGACAGCGAACAGATGGAGGGTTGTGTTGCTTCCGCCGTTGTGGGCTTCAACCTTCAAAGAGGTGCACGGAAGTGTTTGGAGTGGACACTTGCGCTGACCACACGCTTATGGACGAGTAGCTCAGTTGTATTGGTGGCCTGGGCTACACAAGACAGTGAATCGGTGGGTTCGTGGATACCAGGAGGGCGGAAACAGAAAGGCAAAGCCCAGAGAGGTAATTCCACCATTACGAAGTTTGCGAGGAGGTGCAGTAGGAGACCGATGAGCTTTAGACGTTGCTGGACCTTTAACTGTCGCAGACGGAGGAGACCGATATGTAATCGCGGCCGTGGAGTATGTGACGAGGTACGCGGTGGCGTGTTGTGTGAAGCAGTACACTTCGGAAAAGGTTGCAATCCTCCTGATGGAAGAGGTGATATTGAAGTTTGGTGTTTTCAGAGAGCTACTCACTGACGGAGCTCCCGAAATGACTGGAATAGTTATCGAAGAGTTGGTGCAGTTACTGCAAGCTCGCCAAATCAACCCGGTACCTTATCGATCCCAACTCATCATTCTGGTTGAAAGATTGCATAGCTCGTGGAAGGACTGCGTATCGACATCCACGCAGGACGAGCGATAAGCAGAGTGGAATCTGGGGGTAAAGTTTGCGGTTTATTCGTATAACTCGACTAGACATTCTACGGTGGCACTGATGCGAATGAGTTGATGGTGAGCCGACGGCTTCTAACCCCAAACGAGTTACTGCGACAAACCGAGGTGGAAGAATTTGATGATCTACCAACGTATCACGCAGGACTGTTAGATGCCATGGCGCGGAGTCATGGGTGTGCTGAACAAGCACGACAGCGTGAACAAGAACGACAAGCGCGGTACTATAACCACAGAGAAAACGAGAGTTTCAAGTAGGCGATCTGGTGTGGCTGTATAACCCACCGCGTAGGAAGAAGACCACTAAATTCGTACATCAGTGGATGGGACCACTATGCGTTGTGGCCCGCTGGATTTGATAATTTCATGCTAAGACGAGAGGGCAAAACTGGAAATGTGGAGACGTTGATTGCACACGTTTCATTTTTGGTTTCTTATCACCACCCGGAACCGCTATTGGGGAAGGTTGCACATGACATCAACGAAGAGCCCCGGTTTGAAAAACAGACGGCAGGACGGGATGAATCGTTGACGTCAGCGCCTGTTCTGGCAGCGGCGGCAGGTGCAGACCGAGCAACGGGAACTGGAGGTGCGAAACGAGCATGGACGACAACTGAGTGCGAGAGCAGCGATGCTCACGCGCGTGGACTCTTGGTGAAGCGGCGGAGACGACGCCGACGTAATGCAGCGGGTCAGTACGTGCTGGAGTACGAATTGTATCCCTGCGGTGGTCCACAGCAATGGAAGACTAGCGACGGACGGATGTGGTTGGGCAATGGACGAGCACGATCCCGATGGACGAGCGTGGCTGAGTACGATTCTTGTACCGAGACGACAGGGTCGTGAAAAACCCTGAAGTTGAGGAAGTAGTGTAATATGGTGGCAGGTAACGATGACGGTGAGTATGCCGGATGATTCAAGTACCACGGGTGTGACAGGTACCACGGGTACTACGGGTGCTGACGGTGAAGTACAATGAGGACGACATGTTAGACGTGGTTGAAGCTGGGGCTAGCGTGATACGTGGACCTACCACTTCTCACATGCAGCGGACTTGGCTGTCATACGTGCGCCATACTGCTGGATACACGGACGCGGGGGGCTCTGAGAGCACGCACACTTTGAGATTTGCGGAGTGGATCACAGAGCGGCTCAAGACACTTCAAAAGTTGCCGGGTCAGGCACAGAGCGATTCGGGAGCGAGTTGCACGTGAACGGTTAACGTACGGGGCAGTCTGGAAAACGTACGGGACAACATACGTGGAGGGCTCTTGGATTGGACGACTTGAACATAAGTCGACCTTGTGGATTGGACGTCTCGGGAGCAAATCGAAGCAAACACAGCGGACGGACGCGGCGGTGAGCGGACGCACAGGGGCCACGTGGCCCCCAAGTCGGCTGCAAGCCGCACGCAGCGAAAATACCGTGGTGGAGCGGAATCAGTCTTCACTTGAACTTCTTCTTGAGACTCACGGTGAAATCCCGAGTCACCAGAAAGTCCGGGCACGCGCACCACTGTGGTGGAGCGGGATGAGCAGAAATCTTGAGAATGCTGAATCCGGCTTGCCACTGTGCTCAGGACACCGACTATAGGAGGGGGTACTCCTGTTGATCGGTGATCAGCTGAACTTCCTCACCTTGTGTACCCGTCGGTAGGGCTGGATCTTGCTCCTCCGGTAACTGCAGGAGAGGTCCAAGTGTTGAAGATCTTGAATGTCTTGGCGAGATGCAGGGATGTTGTTAACAGCGCGGAAAGTCTTCGCTCTGTTGCCAGGTAAGTTGATCCGGGGTCCACGTGAGTAGTCGAACGTGGATCACCGGTGGCGGATCTTGGATCCGGCCATGTAGGTTGCCTTGGTGTGATGGTTTGGGATGATCTTGCGATCCCTTTGGGTTTCTTGCGGTCTCCTATGACCGGATATGGGGGGTTGAGAGATCGTAGAGACAAGAGATAGCAGGTACGATACGGACCAAAGTGACACGATGTGATTCTTAAAATTGTGGGTCCCTTCCCGAATGGTATATGATTGGCCAAATGGGAGGGCCAGTCCGTGTGACAAGTGGATCAGTGGATACAGGGTTTGGTGTGTGAAGAAGATATGGGACGCTATGCATTGCCTTAGTTACCTGTTCTCACAAGAGACGCCGGATGGGAATTCCCGGACGGTATCAAGTTCCAGACGGGAGGAAAAGTTCACAAGAAGCAAAGTGCTCCCCGCCATGAGGGCGAGCGGAGCTGCCTCCCTTGGCATAAACAAGAGTGCCGTATACACACACCATGCAACAACCTATTCAAGATCCAAGATGATATCTACTACGACACCGAAGGTTCAACAGCATCAGAAGTGGAAGCCGCTCACTTGGTCAGGC